TCGTTCAGAAGTTGTCCTCTTGACTATTCCATCAATACATTTTTTTATACCTGTTGACACATAAAAATTCAGCTCAAATCGAACGGCCCAAGGAATGAAGCTCAGTTGGAGGATCCCCAAATCAGATAGCCCAAAGAACGAAGCTCAATCAAACAAGTCAAGATGAAGGCCCAAATAGGGAGGCCCAAGAACGCGATAACACCATCGCCCAAGTTTGCAAGTCGCCCGAAATCTGAGCGAATGGAGTGCCATGCAGTCGCCCAGAATTTGAGCGAATGGAGTGCCATGCAGTCGCCCAAAACTGTTACTCTATTCTCGCCCAAACCTTCTAATCGCCCAAGGTCTTAGCAAACATAAAGTGTTGCGGTTATCAAGAAGTGCAGTTATCAAAACAGTTATTAAAGCAGCCCTATCACGTTCCACGATTCAAGGAATTCAATCAAAAACGGTTGAATGACGAAGAGTAATGGCAGCAGTTAAAAAAAAAGGCAGTTCCATGACAAGTTGGCCATTACGAGGAAAGTGGGCAGTTGTAGAACGATCAAGCAGTTTTAGGACGGTTGATAAAAAAAGATCATCCAGGGGTATAAAAGGAAGAAAAGACATAGAGCAAAGGGACCGAATAAAAAACTCTCGAACAGAGAACATGTAATTTTAAATTCCTTAGCTTAGATTTAAACACTTTTTTCAGTAACTCGTGTGCTTGCTCCCCTTGGAGGCATTCTGTTTTTAATTTCCAATTGTAAAGTCATTGCCAATAAAAGAACACCCATTTTTGAGACTTTGTCTCAAGAGGTTTGCCCCTTACACAATCGTCTGATCCCTTTTAATTGTTAGCGACGAACACGCGCGAAACAATACCTTAGTACATTACATTTCCGTAGCAAATGGGAATATGTCGATAAAATATTTGTCATCTTGACACATTACGCTTTGACATCTTCCCACCTGCTATGAAAAAGTAATATGTCGAGATGTGAAAAATAGAACAATCAAGACTTGATCTCATATTTCGCAAGTGTTCTTTTGTCAATCCATATATCTTGACCTTTAAAGTACTGGTTTCCAAAATAAAAAGAAAAGGCTAAACAATATGGTTGGAAAATTACAACTGGAGTCCTCGAACTTTGCGAAATACAACAGTAATCTTCATTCAATTATTCTCGGGCAAATGAATGGCAAACTTTTAATTTCGGTGGAAGTAAGTTCCCACTGGATGGAAACAGGTTGAATTTTCTTTCAAAGAGTCACATTCCATGTACACTCCCGTTCTCAACTCCAAAATAAAAGTCCAATAAATGTCATGTGATTTTTGGCATAAAAATTAGAGTAATTGCCAAGTGTGATCCTAGACCTTTTGTTGACGGTAAATTTAAATGACACGTGTAAATTTACCATTTTACCCTTTTAAAATTGGTCAAAATATGGTCAAAGTCAAAATTTTCTAATCAATTAACAAAAAAATCGTCCCTTTATCCTTCGGTTGCAACGAATTGAAAGGTTTGGAACTACAGATGCAAAAAATATAAGGTTAGAATATAAGCCGTAATCCAGTGAAATGTTTGGAATCATAGCTGTCATTTTCACAAAAAAATTAACGATGTCTATCAAGTGAGGACCTACTTACACTGAAATAAAAATAAAAATAAAAATAATAATATAGACTCGAGTGCTCAATTTTATAGAGTTTCAAGAATTCAACTATAATTTTCCCAATTATGATTGGAGATGCAGGGGATGAACCATTGAACAAGCAATTAGTTTCCTAACTTTGAAATAAATCCTTTTATTGCCAAGCAAGAAAGGCACCTTCTTCCCCTTTAACTTTAACCTATTCCATAAACAGTCCTGTCCACCTCCTACTCTTATTTATATCCAAACCAACTTTAATCCCATGCCTTAGTTCTTATAGATCATAAATAATTTTCACAATTCTCTCTGTGTTCATCCATGGCTTTCACCGACGCAGCGAAGCAAAACGGTTTCGACAAAGAAATCAAAGAACTCATCTCCTCTCTCACAAGTTGTGCATCGAGTATTCCGAAAAATGGAGGTGATTCAACTCAGCATAATACTCAGGATTATGATGGACTCAGGATGATCACTTTGGCCGGAACCAACGTGGGAGCCAACATGCACGGGGAGATGGATGAGAAACCTAACGGCCCACAAGGTTAATTATTATTTTTTTTCCAATTTATTTTTATTTCTAGTCTTAGGAGGTGGCTTGACCTGATCTCCAGCTAACAATGAACAAAAATTAACTTGAAAGATGAGTACAATGTAAAAGCAAAAAGAATGCATTTCATTCCTAGAAGCATATAACCTTGTTAAAGAAGTTGAAATTATATTTATTTGACTTTAATCTTCAACAGGCATCGAACTGGGAGGCACTGAAGAGTTGACTACATATGCAAACAATAATTTTCAGGCTATTAACAATTCAATAATACTCGGTGGTAGTTATAATACGAAGGATCCAGGTGTTCATTTGGACGTATCGGAGTACATGGATCACAATGCACATCACCTCGAGCACGATAAGAAGGAGAAGAAGAGCGAAAGGGAAGGGTCCAAAAGTGACCATCAGAATGAAAGTTCTTCAGACTAGCTTGGATAAAGTATGCATGAGTCACCAGTCGATCATATATTTATTTTCTACTTATATTTGTAATTGCACCAACTTTATATTCTATGCAAGAATACATTTGCGTCGTATAATCGAAACTCATATAATTTATTTCTTCCTCAATACAATCTATGACTGGATTATTAACTATCGATTGATATATTGACTTACTAGAACTCGACCATAAATCGTTGACTAATCCTGAAATGAATTGGCCCAAATGTAACTCTTCCCTGGTCCAATCCAAAAGGTGGTTATTAGAAAGCTTGCTTCCTCTCTCTCTCTCTCTCTCTCTCTCTCATATGTGTCCATCTCTCCTATTATTTCTCTCAACCATCCCTTTACGTTCTTCATTAAAGCCTTCAATCAAAGAAACATAAAGCCAAAGCCAGTCCCATTCCCATCCCCGCCGGAGACGCAGCCGATATCTCCCAATCTACACATAAAACCACCATATAATTAGGCCATGCACAATAACATGACCAACAATAATAACCATACTATTCAACATTCAAGATCCCACGCCACCGCTCAGGCTTGTGCCGCATGCAAATATCAACGTAGAAAGTGCGCACCCGACTGCATTCTCGCCCCTTATTTCCCCCACGAACGCCACCGCCAATTCCTCAACGCGCACAAACTCTTCGGCGTCAGCAACATTATCAAAATCATCCGTCATCTCGACCAGCAATCGAAAGACGACGCCATGCGCACCATCATCTTTCAATCCGACGTACGGGCCTCCGACCCTGTCGGAGGGTGTTACAGAATAATACGAAGTTTGGAGCGACAAATAAACGTAGCGAAAGCCGAGCTCGAAATTATCCTCCATCACCTCGCCTTGTGTCGAGCACAAGCCGTGGTCGCCCAACAGCAGGCAGCATTGCAAGCTGTGGACGACACGGATTCGACACTGAATTGTGATGTGATTAATGGGGACCCTTTGGGGTCTTATGATGAATCAATGAATAATTATCATCACAATCTTCATGTTCAACCCCCACAGCAGCACAGACATGATCAGTATATTGATCAAGAACAGATTGCACTCCAAGAAATTAATGCATGGGGGATCAATGCACAAGAATCTACTTCTTCATCTTTCCCTATCCATCGTCGGGCGGTTGTAGATGAATGTGATGATTTCAGACCAATTCTTGATTTGCCTGATGAGAGAGAAGAGTTCAAATTTGATCCAGCAGATGAAAATGGTGAACCAAGATTTGTTACATTGGCCTAGCTAATCTCTCTTCATCATATATAGGTTTGATCATCATCCCTTTGCTGCTTGATTTTCATTGTTAAACTATTATATGTTTATTTGTTGGCCCACGACACCTAATTGTTTAAATTATTAGAGATGTGATACAATTATTTATTTTGATTTTGCATTCAACACGTAAATCAAATTCATATTTTTTTCAAATCTTAAACTTTTGTCTATAAAACAAGCTAAAATAAATTGATTTATTTAATAATTGTCTCAAATCTAACATTTATTTATTTAATAATTTTCTTTTGACAATGAATCGACGTTGAATGATCGATGCATTTGGCAATCTGAAATCCCTTTTTTTTTTTTTTTTTGCCTCATAAGTTCATTGGAGATAAAAATCAATAACTTCCCTTAGATGTTCCAATTAGTTCGACACCTTTTTGACACGCTCATCATCTAGATCGACCCCTCTTTACACCATCCTGTTCAATTAAATATAGTGAAATACAATTATATATAAAGTAATGCATATTCTTAATAGCTTCATTTTTCAGCTGTACATGAGAGATTTTGTTCATAATTTTAAGAAAACACCTCAAATAATTATTTATTAAAAAAAGTCATTATTTTGAATTTATTGCTTGATTTAGGACATGATAAGAAACACCATGATCAAATGAATCCCCATCAAGTTCTTGTCCATAAAATGGACCGAACCCAACTAAATTTTCAGCTTATTCGATCAGAAATTAGGGTTCCTAATTGAGAAAAAAAATTGCAATTTTGTGCTTGCTCAAAATGATAACATATGGTGCAGTAAAACCATATACTGTAGCTCAATGACTACTGACATAAAACTTAATGCAGCAGAGAAAGAAGAGTATGCAGAAAGGGCAAAAGGCCACACTCAAGGAAGAGGATGGCAGCTTCTATCCGTCCAATCAAGATCAGGATCTTTGAGGGCACAGGGTGAAAGATCATAGAAATTGTAGATAACAGATTTTGTAGAATAACTGAATGAATAAGACTATAAAATTCATATTGCAGCAGGCAAATACAAGTTGTACACAAGTTTTTTATGAGAAGCTATTCAAAGGCAGTTTTGTGGTTATCCGAACTCCAAAAAATTACAGTTTCAAAACCCTAAATTATAGACAGAAGTACTGGTAAAAGTAGCAATATCCTTACCAATAAACACGAAGAAAAATCGGTGCTCAAAGTACACAACTGAATGCAGAAGAGCCATAAAGACTGTAAAATGATCATAGTTTTTTTTTGATCGGTGTAAAATGATCATAGTTACTAAATGCCAGAGGGGGTCAAAAGGACTATATACAAAACTATACAACTTCAAAAGAAACGGAAGAAGTGCACAACTCCATAACAAACTACAAGAGACGTAAAAAAGTAGCCCAGAATTGTATTATCTTTTAGTGAGAAAGCCATTGAAGTTTAGCTGCAAAAGATACTATTGCACCATAAATTAAAGATGGTCAAACACTGAGATCCAAAGGAAAAGTAGAAGTTTGACACTCATTGACACGATTTGCCATACATCAAGTCATATGTACTTCTAATTGTTACCGGAAAATTCATTCAAAGTAACTAATGCACATCTACTTTTTGTCAATGTAGCTAGTACAAGGGTGAGATTGTGACTAAAAGACAAATTGACACTCATGAGCAAATAAATCAAGGCAAATGTACCAATTCTCATGGAAAAAAATTATTTGAAGTATGCATATATAATAGCAGATAAATAAATATTAAAGTATCGAAGCCAACAAATAGTGACTGCAACAATTTTGTCGAAAGGAAGATGCAATGCCACCAAAAACCAGTTATGTTTATTGGAAAATCTATAAAGTTGGTAGCATATTAATGCTTCTATTTAGTTCTTACGGAACAGCAAATTTAATCCACAAAAATAAGTGATTAAACATCACGTGAATGATATGATTATTATTTATGAATGCCTCCCCAAATAAGAAGAGACTAACCCACAGCAACACATTTAGTATGCTAGACTACACAAGAGAACAGGTGCAATATTAAAACAAAGTTTGACAAATGCAAAGTCAGTTAGATCATAGATCAAAAAACTGTAAAACAGATTATAATTGATTTCGAGTCAAAATTAGCATGCATATGAAACAGTTTTTAAAAGACAATTATTGTAGTGTATTTCGATTTCTTGTCATTACCTTCTATAAAATCATAAACATAAATTTATTTACATCACATATGTACTATGGTTTTGGGACACCAAATACATTTTATAAAGTAAAAACAGTTTATACTAAAACTAATTCATCCATAAAGCTATTCTGCAGTTTGTGCCTAAACCAAACAAAACCAAACCAAAAATAAAGATATTGTCGAACAATTCCTAGGGCTCGTAAATACAAGTATACAACTATGAGACCGTGACAAATAAGAAGATTAACAATTGATTGAGATTTCTACAAGACCAAATATACAAGAGATCAATTGTCTTGAAGTTTTTCCATCCCCAAAAATTTTGTAAACATTTCCCTTCTCTAATCCGAAAAATGGGTAGAAAAAAGAGATGATATTGCCACTTCATAAAAATCTTTAATGAACACACAAAGCAGAAGCAGAATTGTGCCCTTCATTTTTTTAAACCAAACAATGAATCAGCAACTCAGTTCTGATCAACTAGACTTCTACTCCTAAGGATCACACAGGCAAAAGCCTAAACTAATTAGTGTGTATATGACACATATCCAATTTAACACCCCAAAATAAATCATGTTAACGAAAATCACCACTGTTACAGACATTTTTTTTTTTGCAAGAGACCATGTTTTCAGTAATAAATGTACTACAGAAGTCTGGAATTGGGGAAACAAGAGCAAAGAGACCTTCAGAGGTTTAAATTCAGCTTTTGAAGAGAAAATTTAATTACACATCGGAGCCTATATATATACACACAATCATGGTAGTCATAAATAGTAAACATTACCTTTTCAGAGGACAATACAAGTCAAATCAAGATAAGCAACACAAATAGTGCAATATCAATACCACTCCCACGGATAAAGAAGGAATTCTTGAAATTTCAACAAATTAACTAGGTAACGTCCCAAAACCCCATGTCAAAATGGAAAGCATTTTATCATGGCGGCATGTGGATTGGTGGAGCATGAAACAATCAAGTCCACAATTATTTTATTTTATTTATTTTTTCACAACATATGGTGCAGAATAAAATTTATGACCAAATATCCCTAAAACCAGGTAATAATATCATAAGTTTCCTGGTGGAGGGTCTGATGGTGTAATGCACCACACTTCAAGAGAGCAACTACGACAAAATATCCTTCCTCAGTAAGGGATGAAATGAACACTTCAGATTTCGGAATTGATAAGCTCTTCTACTGAATCTCTGTAACTTGAAACAAGATCCCTGGAATTAACAACAAATATGCACATCGTTATCAGTAAGATGTCACCTCGAACTGGATCTCTACTTTGCTTCCGTGAATCAATCAGAAGCACTAAATGTATTACCACCGATTGTGGTGGTACTTTATGCCCATTATATGGGAAGACACAGGTGCAATGAGTGCTGCTATTTCTTTTAATCCATAGGAAATTGACATAACCATAATGGGAACGTGAAAACTTCTATAAGTTATTTAAATGAGATAAATGTTAAGCAAAGGGATATAACCTTCTTTGTTTCAGTAAGTTCTCAGTGTCCATCAGTTTGTGCTTTTGCTCCTCCACTGTCTGCAACAATATTTCCCGCCCGAGTGGGGAAGGATCATCAGAAAACATATCATTTATATAACTTACCTCAAAGTACACAAAATGATGAACCTCAAAACAATTTTTTTTTATTGGAATCCAAAATATAAATAGCAAATTTCATGGGATTTTACATATAAATATATGATAATTGGTATCATTCTGAAGCCATTGTCATGTAATTAACTCAAACAAAAGATTACTGAGAATTTCAACAAATATACCCATACTTGTTTTCTACACGAGGAAGTTCCAAATAATATAAGGTAAAAAGAGTGCAATCTACCGTCGATTTTGCCTTAATTGTCCCTGAAATCGAGTTCAACAGCTGCTGGCACTTCTCAAATTGGTTGTTCAACTCGGTTACCTTCCAAAGCGACAGATAACTTGCATTTATATACAGATACCAAAATAGCAGTTTCCATTTAAAGCAAGTAAATTATGATTCACAAATAAAAGAAAAAAGGTAATCAAAAAACCAACCAATGCATCAGTTTGCTGATCCCGCGTCCCATTCTCAACAACGTCCGCCAAATTTTCCACCAACTGGATCAAAAAAAGGCGGAATCAAAAATTTTTTTTTTTAAAAAATAAATCTAAATTAGTTTTTTTCAGAAAAATGATATAAGGGTTTGGGGTTATTAATGCGTACATGCTGGAGGTCGAAGTGAGAGGCAAGTGACTGCTGTGGTTGCTGTTGCGGTGTTTGTTGTTGAGGAAAACGTTGTTGCTGCTGCTGATTGAAATGTGGTTGGAATTGCGGTTGATTGAACTGCGATTGCTGTTGTTGTTGGAGGTATAGATGGTCCTGATTGGAGGGTGTAGTGGGGTTACTGTGGGACTGTATGTTGGGGATCATTGTCCAGTTCCCTCCCCCGAAATGCTCCATTGTTGTCCTTTGCTCTTTCTTCTTCCTGCTGTGACCGAAGAAGAAAATAGGTCAATTTTCCCCAATTGACCCATAATCTATTGGGTGCAAGACGACGTCGCAGAGTTTTGTCTTATCTTAATGTGCTTTTGCCAAGCACTCTCCTAAATTATCCATCAACAACCAAACACGGCTTTGAGTTGGAAACGTCGTCGTTCCGTCATTTTGCATCAATTTCCTCTTTTTAATGAATTATTATATTATTATTAATCGCGAAGCTCGATTCCAGGAAGAAAAACCGCTGAGTCTTGCTCTTTTTTTCCTCTTTCTCTCGCTATATAAGCAATTATACAGGCACGCAGATACGTAATCATCACAGAAAACCCAAACGCAGTGAGTAGTTTGAGGTTCGATTTTATTTATTTACTTTATTAATCCAATAAATTATTTTTTCCTTGATGCATAATATGCAATTTCATATGGCGGTCTTGAATTGTAAAGTTGTTTTGTGTTTCGCAAAAAGATTGTAGTTTCTTTAGGATATTTGAATTTTTATATTGTGCTACATTTGGTCAAGTGATGTTGCAAAAGAATGCGATATATTTGCGGCAAAAGAACGCAGTTTATGCTGTTGAACGAGTTATCAAAAACCCAGCGCAGATTGGAAATTATAAAGAATGGTATTCGTTTTGTGTCAGTCAGAGATGGGAGATGTATGCATTTGGTGAAACAATGCTGTGTATGCTCGGTTATCACCTTTTTTAATGATCGGAATGGAAATTTATACCGGTGGTTTGTGAATGTGCATTTTGGTTCCATTCTTTTTTTTTTTCTTTTGGGGCAAATATGTCACGACTTCCAATTTTGTAGCAAGTAGGTACCTTTTAGCAGATCCTATCCAGTTTAGCTGTTGAACATTGCACATGATTATAAATTTTAATTCTTTAGAGAAAATTAAACCTTACTTTAAGTAATAAAGAATAAATAAAAAAAATGATGTTCTTCATCCTTATCTTGTGCTCCCTTCCTGTGTGCAATATCTGATTCTCCATCCTACTTAATTTTCCCAAATCTTCTCTCTGTAAAACTTTGAAAATTTCCCAATCATCTTCTGTAGAGAGCCCGTTTGGTAGCCATTTTCTTCAAAATGCATTTTTCTCTCTCTTCTTTTCAACCACACATTCTTTATTAAAATAATATTACACGTAAATAAAAAAATTTTCCTTATTTTTCAATCACACATTTCACATCAATTTGCTATTCTAAAATGCATTTTTATATAAAAATGCCTATCAAACACCTCCAAAGTAATAATATCAAATATACCAACTCTGTACTCATTAATTCTATTTCTCTTCAATTAATTCCAACGGAAATTGGAGATGTAATATTGACACACACTCACACTTATGGATTTTAATCATTTCATGCATAAATGTATGTCTGCGATTGAAAAATGTGTTCAGTTTCAATTTAGCCTCCATTTGGGAAGGATTTATAAACAATTTAATTTATAAGTAGATAGATAGAAATGAGTGGTAGATAAGTGGATAGTAGTTGTGGTTTCATTGGAATGTATGATCGAAAATAAAATTTGACCTTTTATATAAGATTTATGAATTTTGCCCAATGGAGGTGTACGTAGTGGGTTAAAGTTTTCCTAATGCCCTTTATTGCCTTCAACTTGGCTGTTTTTTCCTGTTTCTTAATATTTTCTCTCTGGATATTTATACGTGAGAAATATGTTTCAATTTGAGGGTGAGGCCACTAATCTGATTCTCTTTCTTCAACTGCAGCTTTAGTTTCCTGACTATGGCATCTGAAAACTAATACACGAGAAAATGGCACCAATAATAATTGGAACCTAGTGCTTTGAGGAAGGGGTTAGCCAGTTAGGGGAGGGAGGTGATTGGAAGTGGATTGGGAAGAGGGGGCAGGGCAGGGGAGAAGGGAGGTGGAAGAATAAGTTTTTTTTATTTTATTTTTATTTTTATTTTTTTAATTTTGACATCGAAGCATTTGGATAACCAAAATTTTCCCAAAAATATGTTTAGGGCCACATGACATTTGATGATATATTTGGCTAGAATCCATTAATATGGTTCTGGACCAGTTTGCCAAAAAGAATGGAATGGGAATCCAAGTGCATATTTACCAATAGGTTGGGACATTGGGTGTAATTTTCTTATGGATGGAATAGCTTACTGTGATGGAGACCTAATATTCGCATTTGCTGAGTTTGAAGTGTGCTTGTATTGGTTGAAAGTCATGTCTACATAGCTTTCCTAGTTCCTTGAGATCATCTCAAATTTCGGATTTCTTAGATTTTATTCAAGCATGCTGGGATCAGGTCTTGTATATTTTACTTGAGATAAAAAATTCTCATAATACAAACCAATGTTTGGTTTGTTTGCAGTCCTGTTTAATTGACTGGTGTAGGTAGGGGCCATATGGTTAGAGATGAACAAAAATGTTAGCCAAGAGTGGGATGAAATTTGAGGCTTCCAGGGAAATGTTTGTGAGATGACAATATCAATACAATTTTTCAATGCAAAACAAAGACCTTAATTAACAATGTGTTCTAGATGAGTATAACTACATGGGGTTAATGAGTTCTACAGAAATAAACTGTTTGTTCCTGTTCACATGGAGTGGCTAGCATGTTTTGAAGTTCTCATATACTTCAGTTTTGACTATACTTCAGTTTTGACTTTTGACATGATCTCATGATTTGTAGATTGCCTTAAAATTGAGTCACGTTTCACTTGTTCCGGGACCAATGTTAAGAGCAGCATTTCTGTTCAAATCTCTTTATTTTCTGTTGGTTGCTGTGTTCCATTGTCTGTTTTTTAACAAAATGTTGTAGTATTTGAGAAACTGAGGCAGGATTAGACCTGCGGGTAAAGTTTCATTTTGATTTCAAACGATGAAGTTCATCACCATGGGGATTCATTCATCTTGCTGCAGGGCAAACTTGTGCTGTTGTTTTTAGCTATTGTTCAAAAAGCATAACTTTGACATGATCTCATGATTTGTAGATTGCCTTAAAATTGAGTCACGTTTCACTTGTTCCGGGACCAATGTTAAGAGCAGCATTTCTGTTCAAATCTCTTTATTTTATATTGGTTGCTGTGTTCCATTGTCTGTTTTTTGACAAAATGTTGTAGTATTTGAGAAACTGAGGCAGGATTAGACCTGCGGGTAAAGTTTCATTTTGATTTCAAACGATCAAGTTCATCACCATGGGGATTCATTCATCTTGCTGCAGGGCAAACTTGTGCTGTTGTTTTTAGCTATTGTTCAAAAAGCATAACTTCATCCTTGTCTGAAATTCTACTTTCTTGTGTAATTTACTTTTCCATTACTGGAATTTTTGTTATTGTCATATCGCACAATCTATAATAATTTATGGTGTTTGCAATATATCGCAGATTGAACATGTCGGTTAAACCAACTGTTGCATTAAGGGCTATGCTCGTAGGAGGAATAGCTGCATTCGCTAAAATCGGAGGTGCAATGAAAGCTGCTGGTGGAGTGAAGCTAGGTGCTGCAGCTGCTGCTGTGACAGCTGCAGCAAGTGCAGCTGTGTCGGGATCAAAACAGGAGTCGAAAGATGCTCCTACGCACTCTGCAAAATGACTCAGTCGCGTAGTGACTAATCCTTGTCTACCGCTGGGAAATTTTGGACACCCTTGATTGTATGTTTTCTGCAATAAGATGTGTAACAATTTTATTTATATAAAAAAATGTGGCTGAGAAGGAATTGGCAGCAGATAGTTCATCTAGCTTCTCAGTGAACAAAAGCATGTTGAAATTTGTCTTTTACCAACTTTTGATACCGATGAAGGATGATTTTTTGTTCGAGTTACACTGCTTCTTGTATACACTTAGAAATCCCGTAGATATGATGCAAAACTAATTTTGTTTCGTCTTTGAGGAGATTTCTTGATAAATTATACAAGCGGAGCTGATGCATGTCAAGAAAAACTGAGCAATAGAAAATAATTTCTTATAGACGAAAAGGGTAAATAAAATTATATTGCTAGATTCAATTTCAGAAGCACATACAAACACATTTAGATGAAGTAAATGCCACCTCTCTCCATGGACAACAAAGGAAACAGAGCGGAAACACTCTAACTAGTCAAGTTGATAAAATCGTGGCAAGTCAGAGCTTCCAAGAACTCTCAAGCAATTTCAAAGACCTCAGAATTTACGAAGTTTTGAACTCGCATGCCCACAAGTGAAGTCCGGATGATCAACGGAGCTCACTTGAAGATCAGGATTTGGTACTTCTAACTCAAGAATGACCTGATTGTAGACAAGGCAAGTAGCATAGTTATCTCATTAATAATTCTAACTTAAAAGGAAAATAATTGAAAAATCAGTATGTAATTTGGAAAATCATAGCCATATAGGAGTGCAATCAGGAATTAGAGATGTATAAATGCAACAAGCAGACAGTAGAAGCGGTGCGAGTTTGGCTAAGCCTAAAAAATTGGCTTATAACTAAATAAATTAGTTTTAAAATAAATAATTTAGTTTGTCAATCAAAGTTTAAAGTAAGTTAGAGTGCGTTTAATTGTCTATATTTTTCATGAAAAATGAGTTTTTTCCATCCAAATTCCTACTTTTGTGCTGTTTGACTGCTATTTTTTCATGGAAAATATTTTCCTACTTTTGGTCACGTGACCATATTTTCCTCAAAATCAAGGAAAATATTTTCTTTAGGCAGAATAGGATTTTATTTTCCACGGAATTCACACACACTCTCTCTTATTTATCCACTCTCTCTTCTCATTAACCCACTAATAAAAAATGGACAAGTATAATATTTTCTAAATTGAAAATTAAATCAATCAAACACGTTTAATTCACAATTTTCATACAAATAAATTATAGGCAATTGAATTACCTAAAATTTATTTTCTTTCCATGCAAATTTCATACTTGTAATCAAAAGCACCCTTAATTATTTTACTTATAAGAAAAAAGTATTCTATCAAAACATGTTTAGAAATAAAAAGTGACTTATAAACCAGCATAGTTCCTACACCTGCAATGGCTGCACACCACAACAGATTTGAAACAGAAAAGATGAATTTATAATTAATTAACACAAAGCAATGAGTAACACTTTTACTTTGTTAGTTGTATTTGTTTCCACTATTTTTTCTGTCATAAGATTTTAAGGGGAATGTAAGAAAAATTCATAAGAATCATTATCTTTAAAAAAAAACTAAAAACAAACTTGTGTATGAAGCATTTTGGGATTGTCATACCAAACTATTTTTGCCTTCTCGAAGAATTGGAGCAGGAACATAGAGGTTACATTGTGGTCCGCGGGACTGCAAAAAGAGCCAGGAATAGGGTTATTTTGTTTCAAGAATATGATCTCCTAAACACCGGTGTTTAGCTTATGTTAAACACCGGGTGACATGGCGTACCATTTAATTGGTGAAGTTAAGCATCGGTGCTAAGGAGATCATTCCTGTATGTATATATATAACAAACAGTAAATGACAAACACACTGTATACCGGCCAAAATCGTCCAACATTGAATTCATTTATAAATGCAATTCCTTTGCTCCAGCCTTTGAACGATATATATGTGTCTGTTACTTTGTTAACAATGAAATGGCCAGTGTAGAAAGCTGGTTCTGGATTAAGTACTGAAAAGAAAGCAAATAAGTATTAAACTCATGCTCTTCCAAAGCCCTTAATCATCTCATTCATCAAGAATTTGTCTCATGTAAACTTAGGGTGTGTTTGCTACACGGTATTGAAATCTTTTTCACCAACTATATTAATCAGTCATGCCTATACCGTGCATCAAACATACTTAAAATTTTAGTTTATTATAGCTTCACAAGGTCTTAAACTTACTCTCTTGATCTTTTAATTTTCGATGAGCAGAGTCTTTAAGAAACTCCTTTCGTGCATTCAAAACGATGGGATTGACCTTTTGCTCATTTAGATTGCGGAAAGGAATGGGAAGCATTTTCCACTTATAAAGAAGCCTTCCATCCAGATACACAGAAGATAAAATACCCTAGGAATCGAATAACTAAACAATCACCATTTTTGTTTATCAACAGAAAGATAAAAACAAAGAGGAATTGAAGAAAAATGGTAAAAGGATAGCATATCATGGTCCGTAATGGATATTTTATGAAGACATCAAATATGAACAATGAAACAAATAGATCCTGGAATTTTACCTTCCTGTCAAACATATATGGCCCATAATTCAAGCGACCCATGTTTTCAACCTATTCGTGTAGAAATCGATCAACATAAATGAAAATGGTTAAAGACTTAAAGTTGAAGAATCGACACAACTGAGAAAGGTGAAAAAGAATTCTTGTTAATGAAAACCAGTAACTTCAAAATCCAGATCTGCAAGAAGATGTTTATAAAACAATGATATAAATCTATCAATTAGATGGTAAAGGCATTCCAGCAGATTGAATGTAACAGTCACTTGTGAAGAAACCCAATGATCTATTATGTTTAAAAAAAAAAAAATCCTAAATTTCATGTGTGTATAAGAAAGAAAACTGGATATGATGATACCAGATTATAATGCACTAAAAGATACGGAAACTCAAGTCTTACGGTCTTGAAATAGAACATTAAACAGATATCATGTTTTATGATACTGCAAACTATCAAAACAAAAGGAACAAAAGCTAATTAACTGTTGATCCGGAATGCAAGCAAAAGCCTACTTTGTTTTCCTTTTCCATATGAGTGTTCTACCTTCAAACGATAATCTAAGCTAATGCCTAGAAACAATTAAAGCAAAATGTACAGCCTATATCATGAAGGAAGAAAAGGAGTGTCCATACCAAGATATATAATTTATTTTTGGATCCACATTTTAAATAAGGGAGGTTAATGGGTCTGTTAGACCATCTCGTAATGAGGTCAATGTATCTTGGCCTTTTTCCATTATCTTCTGCACATGAAATAAAGACTTGACCTCTATCATGTACCTGTGGAAATGATACTTAGATATATCAACGGGACATGAAATAAAGACTTGATCTTTGTATGAACCTGCAAAAAATGATACTTGAAAGACATTAAAGTCACATCTGCTTTTGATTTTGATGGAAGTGATATGACGAAGCACTGAGTGTATATATTTTTAATGAATAAATGAATCAGTGGAATGATAGAAAGAATTGCTTTTAGATACGATGTAAATACTAGATGCATCATTATTGCATACATGCCGTATGGTAGAGAAGGGATCAGTATTGTATAATTCGAGGATACGTATGATAACAAATGGAAAAGAACTTAAAGGCCAAGCGGGAATGTTTATATAGTAAACCTGTAAATTTGTATGAACGGAGCTGACCTTAGATATGAACAACGTGCTTCCATTGCCTTTTGCAGTGTACTCAGATACATACAATACAAATCCAAACATCTGAAGAATATAGAACACATTAAAGTGCAGAAGAACTCATAGGTAATCAGTTTTGACTATCTGGGAGAATTACAACACAAGTTCTCAAGCGAAGGGAGCCTAATTATTGTATACCTGTCCAGTAGCCTCCATTGAGGCTGGGTTTTCAGATTCAACCATATCAATCAGGTTTTTAATATCAATAGTGTCATACAAAAATGCAGTTTTCTTGAGCTTAATACTCCCATAAGCTGTCCTTTTATTATTGGAAGGAACTGAAGCGAGAGGCACTGCACTATACTTAGCAATAACTCTCCTGAGAGCTGAAAGCAGTACCATGTTAATATAGGAAAAAGAACAAACCAATGCGTTAGGTGATTAGTCTGACTTGAAAGAAAAATTACGGGAAATCGTTGCCATCATATTTTGGAGGTTAACGAGTAGGTATCAAATGCTTCGCAAGTATGCGTCATAATTAGAGATCAGTAGATCAAAGGAAATCATTGTACTAAATACACATATCACACACATCAACTCTGAGAATAGATCATAATGAAGTGACTTCGAAAATGACATGCCACATTACATGACTAGCAACTGGCTTATAGACATATGTCAAGCTCTAAAAACTGGATCAAACTACTGCTTTCATGTGCTGATGTGCATATAAATTTTTCACCTAATTTCATACATTTTTGGAATTTGAGGAGCAAATTCAGCTGACTACTGACTTCCAGCAATTTGTAACAGTAAACATCTTCACTCTCATTTTGAGGACATGTATGGAGAAAACATAGTCCCATGGAAAGTAAATGGAAAAACACAAAGACGCCTGCAGTTCGTGTGTACCTTTGTACTTCGCATTGTCTACATCACCAGATTCTCTAATAGGCGCGTCCTAGAGAAATGAGTTTCAGTTTCACAGGGAAGGAAAATCCAGCAATTTATAAGATTATTAATTAATGTTCAGTAATAATCAACAATAAACAGGTCATGATCTTCTTACATAATCATAGGATGTAAGATCGGGCTTGTAGTCCGACTCATTTGCTCCAGAGTTTGCACCACTATAAAATCCAAAGTTCGTTCCACCATGCGCCATCTGAAACACAGAGCGTGCATTATCCTCCGTTTTTGGTAACAGCCATTATCAACGAACAAAAGGTTGAGTTTAATGGCATACATAGAGCACAGCTGACCCATTCTTCGACAAAATCTTCTCCAAGAAAGTTGCTGTATGAGCTGCGTCAGTACTTGCAATATTTTCTCCCCAGTGTGTAAGCCAACCAGTATAAAATTCTCTGAAATAATGAACAAAGCTGCTATGTAAGTTGCATCAGTACTCTCAATATTTTCTCCCTAGTGTGAAAGCTAATCAATATAGAAATCTCTGAAATCATGAACATCATCCAAATCTTCTCACAAAAAATAAAAATAAAATACCGAC